CAGTCAAACCAAAAATTATTCAGACACCAGATATAATTTTTTATATTTTTTTACTAGTGGGTGCAGGACACTATAGTTCATTTATGTAAGTGAGGATAGCAAAATAAAGTGAACTGTGACAAATTATACCCAGAAATTCTTCATACAGTGGACTAGCAGTAAAATTTGGGATCAAAAATTATTCAGAATTATTCAGACCTAACCATGTTTTGCTTAAGTGTTTTTCCTTTAATTGCTAATGCGACCTTTTTACACCACAGTCTGAACAAAACTAATTGGTAATTGGTTGACCTAAATTGGTATTATCTAATTGTGTACTTACATTTAACAGCTGAATATTTTTTGGTTGATTGTAATCCCTTACATACCTTTCTATCAAAGTTATCTGACATTATCAAGATGAATTTGGGTTACACCTTATTTTAAGGTGTCCTTGTTATAGTGTAATTATACATTTAAGTACCGAGTAATATTTATGAACTACATGTACAGTATACTTACTATATGGTTAGGGTTAGTCTTAGGGTTACTTGCATGTAATTATGCATAATTTATTGTTATTATAATAGTAAGTACATGTAACTTGTAACAAGGACACCTTAAAATAGTGTTACCTGAATTTGTTCTGACACAGTTTAACTTAAGTTCTTGTCATATTTTATTACCATTTTCTAAACTATAGCGAATAAAATGTGATATAATGTGAGAAATGTTGAAGGTGTCTGAATAAATTTTGGTTTGACTGTACATGCAAGTAACCCTAAGCCAAACCCTAACCATATAGTAAGTACATGTAGTTAATTAATGTTACTCAGTACTTAATTGTATAATTACACTGGAACAAGGACACCTTAAAATAAAGTGTAACCAGTGATTTGTTTCGAAATTTGGTGCCTCTTATGGCACAGAATTTAAACACTTTTTCATCTTCACATCTTTATAACCTACATTTTGTAGTTTTTAGTTACATTTAATTCGTTTTGAGGTCATCTAAATACTAGTTATCTCCTTAAAATTGACGAAATAAAATTGTAACAGATTTAAAACAATTCTTGGGAAGACGGACTAAAATGATTGATGACTTATCCTGCTCTCAGGGGCGTGTTCAACTTTTCGTCCAATCAAATGCTTTCTGGAATGAAAAAGCCCCTCCCCCTAATGCCACCTGTTTCGCTTTAAGGGTTGTAATTTAAAGTAGCTACTGTCTAAATTCAATAGGAATTACACAGCGAAGAAACCTCTCATTTGGTCTTTTAACTGTAATATGTTGAATATGTTTTCTCACAATAAACACATTGCGAAAACTCTTTATTTAGCGACCTTAAAGTAAATGTTAATGACTATGATCGGCTACCTGAAGTTCGCTATGATGACTAAACCACATCGTGTCACCTTCCACGTTCCACATTCACACACAGGACTAAAAATGCTGCATGAAGATCACCTGATGTCTTCTTCTCTTGACTTGGTTTATTCAGTCGTCCCTTTAATTTTTCCCCCGCAATGGAAACAGCTCATCCAGCATCATCAGGAGCTGCTCTTTGATCTGGAGCTGGCGTGTGCGCATGCGCAGCTCATTGCCTTCGCTGCACTGGCTTCAGTAAGTTGGATGTGCGCTGTCTTCATCATCACATCCAAAAGCCCATCAAAACTGTTGCGATGGGGAGTATCGGAAAAACCCCACACATCTTCCTATTATGTCCGCTGATCGTGGCCGTGGCGTGCGCGCAAAGGTAGGGTTGCGTTTTGTGGCGTTTCAGAAAAGAAAATGATGTGTTTTGGGGATGTAAGAGGATGTAAGAGAACATCTCGTGATATTATTGCAGTATCAGAGACCCGAGCAATATGCCGGTGGTCAAAGACACCGTGGACAGACTCATGAAAGGATACGACATTCGGCTGAGGCCAGATTTCGGAGGTAGGCTAATGCATGAGTAAAATTCGTATAATTGTTGCATTTGGATTGTCACGCGCACTAACATGCCCAATTACTCATGCAAACCTTGTTCATTCATCTCAGTCTCTGATCAGGCGTGCATGTCAATGCATGAGAAAAATGAACGCACGCTTATTTACCGCTATTTCATCTTTTCCCAGAGAGGGACGCTAACTTGGGGATCAATTCAATTTGCAGCGCAACTTTTGTTGCATCATGACAGCAAATGAAATGGCATGCTTTAAAATCTCCTTTAATGCACGCATACGAATCCATCATAGAAGATGCTCAAGCTGTTATTGATAGAAGGACGCGTCTAACTGTGCATTTGTCAGTCATGCAGTTGCGTTTGTGAGTTCACTTCCAGTGCTTGTAACAAATCAACAATTTCATGCGCAATGCCACGTGAATTTGGGGTGTTGGTGTTTCATATACATATAATGCATGCAGTTTCATATATAGAATGCCATTTAGTGTCATTTGGCACCTGCACGTAAAAGTGTGGGTATATGCATGCATGCATACAATTTCCCTTTTAATCATTTTTCCTTTCTCTCCATCAGGCGCTCCGGTGGCGGTAGGGATGAATATAGACATAGCCAGCATAGACATGGTATCCGAAGTAAACATGGTATGTTGCATGTAACAGTATTCCATTATGTGTCAAAATGCAATGCGTTATGCACACTAACTTGAGGCGCACCAGCTGATGTGGCTCACACACACACACATGATGATTAGACGTGAAGCCGCAGAAGTTCATTGGCATGCTGCGGTATCTGCTCTGCATTTCGCTGCTGACATTTGAATTCAAAACACACGCGCACTGGCGCACTCGCACGCGCACCCGCACACGCTCCGCTTGTCTCACGCTGTGTTTTATTTGCCACCGAGAAACGAGCACGTTCGTGGACGCACCTTTCCACCCTGTGAATTGGGTTTAATCGCAAATCTAGTTCAAGGTGAGCGTTGCCCTCTCAAGGAGAAAGACGGCGTGTGCCGCGTACGCTGACAGAAACACGCATTTCTTTGTCAGCAGAGAGGGGGTTTTGGGAGATGCACGACTATAAACAGCATCTATCGACGTTTTTATAGATGCATCTTTTTTTTTTAAATGCTCAGATGATAAACTGTGATGCAAAGCAACATACTGTTGATGGACACCGCTAAAAAGTTAATCTCGCGTGAGCGCACCCTCTGTCGGACGCGGCGCGCGGCGCAGCTATAATTGCAGGGGAATATGTATGGCTGTGAAATTAAAGATTTATGGCTCGTACTCATTGCAGCTTTATCATTTCAGTGGGGGTGATGGAGTTTGTTTTCAATTCATTTCCCAGTCGCTCCTTTTAACTCGATGAAGGTGAAGTGGCCTGTGCCAGGAGCTCTGCATTTTCTTCACCGATCTGTGTGGAAAAACAAAAGCATGCCTCGTTTGCAGATTGAGTTCACACGTATATTTACAGCGCTGTAGGTGGTGCATGCACACAAATGGTCTGATCTATAATGGAAGCGATGTTGTTTCATTATAGTTCATTAAACCATTAATTGTGAGAATTATCTTACCTGTTTATCCTGGATTTGGTGCTTGAACCAGGGCTTCGGAAAAATCATTTGAATATGACAGCCAAGGTCAGGATACCCCATGGACATGGAATTGTAATTTAAATGAATAAAATCCTAAAATATAATGGGAATTTCTGACAGTGAGCATAAATTGTTGTAGTTATCCTCAACTTTAAAATATTTCTTAAGATACAATTTGCTCGTTTTAGGGCAAATGTTTATATTTATTTTTTTTAATTTTTTTTTATGTTTATGCATCATATTCCATGAATAAGGTCAACTTTCCCCCTTTATATATATATATATATATTTACTGTATATATGTATATATGTGTGTGTGTGTGTGTATGTATTTCAATCAAATTTTAAATACATTAAATATCTATTTCTCCCTCTTTAAATGTGATTTGGGCCTGTCCCATCCTAGAGACCTTTTCAACTTTATTCAATGATTAAAATCATACATAAACAACATTTGGACTATTCATATCTTGACCTTCAACCTTGTCAACAACGTTATTTTATTACAGAATGACAAAACAAATCATTTTCCTAAATTTCTGACAATAAAAGTTGATCAAGAACTATTTGGTCCCAAACTACAATTAATAGCTTATTTAGGCTAATTTTTCAACGCTATTACATCCAACTCATTTTAAAAAATATATTTTATTTCTCATTTTTATTTAGTTATTTATTTATCCGCAAACCTCATTGAAAATTAATACCAAAATAAAACAGCTCTTTTAAATTTTATTTTGACCTTGCAAGCTTGATGATCATCACTCATTCTGAAAGCTGAGCACCTTTTTTGACTTTCCATTTACTAATCACGAACGGCCGAGAAAACCACGGATATTCAATGCTCAAAACAATGCCGTTTCCAGGTGGACGGACCTCCGGACAGATGCTTCATACTGTGCAGTGATGTGCTTACAAATTACCTTTATAGATCTGTCAGGTTTGTTGCTTGTCACGCTTGAGCTCTGGAATCCCGAGGAGTTGGGGAGAAAAGATGAAAATCTTTGTTTTCTGCAGCTACAGCAAAATTGGATTTTGGCCGAGCTCGCAGCCGACAGGATCCTCCACTATCCTGAGGGTTGACAGGCTTGATCTGGGAGATTTGCAACCATTAGTATCTGATATTTCCATTCAAAGCCAGCATGCATCACGCCTCATTCTTTCTCATGCTCGCCTCTTTGGCGCCTCGTACCAGTTTACTGTCTCATTAGTCCAGCGCGATGCCTGCGTCTCAGACAGATGTACGATCTCTCAATTAGGAGCGGCACTGATGCCCCAGGTGTCTTTGTGAGGCGTAACCGCTTCCAGTGTTGTGTTTTAAAGCGAAGCAGCCCTCTCCTCTTCATCTCCTCCTGCCTGCCATTTCACACGCATGTAAACAAGAGCGCTCGCTGCGGTTGAAACGTGGCCAAAGAAGCCTCCACCAAAGGTCACCCGTGTTGTTTGGCAATGCAAATCTTTAGGCCAGTTGCGTTTTCGTTGCTTCACATTAAAATGCAGGCTATTTTTGGAGAAGAGGCAAACGCAGGCCGTGCTCTCTGGCTCAGGCGCTTTCTGATGACTCATTTGTGACCCTGGAGCACAAAAGCAGTCTTAAGTCGCTGGGGTATATTTGTAGCAATAGCCCATTGTATGGGTCAAAATTATCGATTTTTCTTTTATGCCAAAAATCATTAGGATATTAAGTAAAGATCATGTTCCATGAAGATATTTTGTAAATTTCCTACCGTAAATATATCAAAACTTCATTTTTGATTAGTAATATGCATTGCTAAGAACTTCATTTGGACAACTTTAAATGCGATTTTTCTCAATATTTAGATGTTTTTGCACCCTCAGATTCCAGATTTTCAAATAGTTGTATCTCAGCCAAATATTGTCCTATCCTAACAAACCATACATCAACGGAAAGCTTATTTATTCAGCTTTCAGATGATGCATAAATCTCAATTTCATAAAATTTACCCCATGGCTGGTTTTGTGGTCCAGGGTCACAAGTGTAACATGAACGGTATAATACCATATTCTGATCGATCTGTTTGTGACCCGTGCATCTCTGCATAAATTCCGCTCAAGATGCCCTTTGTTTGCGGCCGGGACGGAGGTTTTTCTCTGAAAACATAATAGTCACTTCAAAGGAAAAGATGGGAGCAGACTTGTGTTAGCTCATGGGCTAAATAATTACCGGGGCGGAAACATTGCCCTTATATGTATCATTATCTTGACAAGCATTAATTGCTTACATGAATAAGAGGCAGGGCCGCGCAATGATAGCCTGTGAAATAGCAAATGGATGAAAAGACAAATTTAGACTCAATTAGATCACTCGACTTAATTAGTACTAGTGTGTGTAATTGTTGATCATTTCTGGCTATAGTCAGTTAGTGTCTGTTTAGTCCAGTTTTATTCAATTCCGAGCTGATAAACAGTGTATTTAGTGTTATTTTTACTCTTTGTTGCTATGACAACACCACCCTTCTCTAAAACTACGGGGTTAATGTGGGCTCTTCTCTGTTTCGATGTTTAAGGCAAGGCTGCAGATTTGTGTTTTGATGGATTCTCTCGTACGTAACGTCGTGCCGTGTGTTTACATGTATGATTTAGCTACAGCCAGAAATAGAGGAGCATGGGTGTAGTCACATGATGTTCTCTCAGACAGCAGCAGCGTGTATTATAATTCCATACACTGATGAGATCTGCAGCACATCTCACTCTACTGAGAAGCTTATTATAGTTCTTGCAAGGCTTTTTTTCTTCTCCGCTAATTTCTGCTGTTCATTCAGCACGACCCGTTAATGTACGTGTAGCACGACTGCGTTTAGACTTTGTCTGAGACATTTAAGATTAAAGTTGACATATTTAGAGAATGCAGCTGCTGCGATGGTTGTTGTAGTTGCTTACTGAATTGCAGTTGGTCTTTTTTTACATTCATTTGCATACTGAATTGTGATTGGTCTGATGTTGCTTGCATTTATTTAACTGCTGCTTACCTGAAGCCTTTAGGCTAATATTTTGCTGTGTTGTGTCTCTGGTATATATATGTGTGTGTTTGCATAATGACTAATAACATTTATAATTTAAGTTTTTTTTTATGCCAAGGACCCCCAAATACGATGTTCCTCTTTTTTTAAAGATGGGTATGTGTGCTATTATGCAACTGGCATTTATGTTGTAATTTTTCTAAAGCCAAAAGAAATGGTTAAATATAAGTTGGACTCAAAATAATCGTTAATAATTACATTTCATTTGCGTAGCACCATGCCATATACATTTGTCAAATGTTTTGGTGTATTTTTTTTTCCTCCATCCATCCTCAAACCTAGTTAGAAACACTAGTTGCTGGGTAGATTACTTGCAAATTTTAGTCCGTTACTGATTATAAATTACATGACGAAAATTGTAGTTAGTAATGTAATCTGTTAGATTATTCATATTAGGTAATGTATTCCAACTACTTTTTGATTACTTTTAGATTACTTTTGACTTATTTATCCTACAGATTTGAATTGTATTGTTGTGTACCATTTCGATATAAAAAAAAAAAGACAAACAAAGAGAGAGAAAATATATTCCATTGCAAGAAGCATGAAGTGCATTAAACATCATATTACATCAGGGTTTCCCAGACTGGTATAGAGACAACAGACAAATTAGGGAGAATCAATAAATTATTAATAATTTACGGGCATTGTGTGAATAATATGTAATCATGTAATCCATAAAAAGTAACTGTAATCACGAGTATTTTAAAATGTACTATACTCTAATTACAAGTACTTAATTTTTGTAATCTGATTACGTAATCCAGATTACATGTAATCAGTTACTACCCAGCACTAAGAAACACCTGGTATAAATGACTATTGTCCATGGCTACTCATTGCGTACATAGCTGTGATAGTTTCATGTGTCTCTTAGTGAATATTACCTCGTTTAGTATATGCGGATCCATGAATATGCTAATTAGTCCCCGCCTCCACTCAATTGCACCAGCTCAGAGTCAGACTGCTCCACTTTCACCCGGTTAAAGGGATAGTTTATCCAGAA